ACACCGAACTGGCCAATCATTGAAATATCAGCTCCCGCCGACAGAGCCTCCATGAAGGCCTTTGTGCCAGATCGAGCGATCGTGCCCAGATTGTTGATAAGGTCGGCCTTTGTCATGCCGATACCGCTATCAATGATCGTCAACGTGTTGTCCGCCTTGTTGGGGATGACTTTGATGCACAACTCCTTGTTCGTGTCCAAAACCTCGGGGTTAGTGAGACTCTCGTAGCGAATCTTGTCGAGGGCATCACTGCAGTTAGAAATCAGCTCTCGCAGGAAGATCTCCTTATTGGAGTAGAAAGTGTTGATGATCAGGCTCATAAGCTGAGCGATCTCAGCCTGGAAGGCGAAGGTCTCGACCTCCTCGGTGACCATAGGCTCCGGCATGGCGTAGCAAAGTCAGCAACAAAACACACACACACACTGTGCACGCAGCAACTAGGCGTGACTATAAAAAGCGCCTTTCGTAAATTCTAGAAATGCGTCCGCTCTCTTAGCCAATGGCGTTGCAAGAGAATGTGGCTGATGTTTCTAGAAGGATTTTTACTGGCTGGCGTGCCTCACTGACTCGTCTGCGCGTTTGGAAACTTCTAGAAGGTAGCGCACTCGTGGCGTGCGCCGTAGGCGACTTTTGTGGTCTCTCAACATTAGTTACGGCTTCTGATAGGAGTTTTGAACTATTGCTTCGTAGAGCAACGCAGTAAAGGAGACAGGACTGGTCATTTCTGGCTTGCATATTAGTATATTCTACCTATAAAGTGGGAGAGAGAGAAATAGAGAGAGAGAGTTTGCATTTTGACTAGGATAAGCGAGATCCTCTAAAGAAAAAGTGAAAGTGCTATTCCATATCAGTTATACTGCTTCCATCAGGACTATATTCGCTTCTCATGTGGCTAATCAGAGTTCTGGCAGTCATTGAACGCCCCACGCGAGAGTTCGTGTGCTTTAGCTGGGACATTTAACAGCTTAGTTGTTTCAAAATATCAGCGATAATCAGCGTACTAGGCGAAACGAACAGAAAACTAATGACGGATGAAAAGATGAGTACAAGGTATTAGTTGAGTTTGGGACTGTTTTTCTCATCAATTAATAGACGTCTCTCCACAGCGTCACTAGCTACTTATATGTCTGGACTTAATGTCATTATATATCTTTTATTCGAGCAGAAATTCATCTATGAGCTGAAATTATTGTCCTTGATGTGGTCTTTTCGGTTTCGGCTCCGATGCCAATATGATTATTTAGTTGAAATCCGGGCAGCCTAAACAGGCTATCTGTGTGACATCCGATGTCATCTTCATTCCACAGGAACTAGTGGTAGACCATGTGGGTCAACTTCTGGCCGAACGCTCCTACGAGAGATGAGGCCTTGATGTCCGCACATATCCTCCAGCATCGAGGACATTGCGTTAAGCCTTGCTTTACTCTTTATGACAGATGTAGGAACAGATTAAGGCCACCGCTCTGATATCCACCCCAGCATGCATGATTTCTGAAGTGGTCCTTTATCGGATATGACGATATGTGTTCGCCAAGTATCAGCCAAAGTCTTCGGTTCGTTATGTCATGAGGCTCTCGTCGTTGTCAAAACAACACACGTTGAGCACCTTAAGGAGTTACTGAACTGGGTTCGTGGTGGTGGCCCAAACAAAAAACCAACTCATCCTACTCAACTACCTTATTTGTCGGTGTGTAACTGAGAAACTGCAAGCTATAGTATTCAGAAAGTCCACTGATACAAGGCAACTACTACACTTCAACAGCAAGCGCCCTCTGTCTCATAAACGTAACTGTGTTCGCATTCTAATGCAGAGGGTTGAAACATATTGCAGCACGCCAGCAGACAAAAAAGCTAGACAACAATACTTGCATAAACTCCTCAGGGTCGATGAATACTAAAACCGTGCTATCGAGCAAAGCGGACAGCGAGAGAACGGATGACGAGCAAAGGAGTAATAACCCGAAGTTTGGAGGGTCCTTTCTTGCGTTAGAGGAGACTCTGAGACGGTTTCTCAGCCGTCGGTGCAAGTATGATTCGTATCCACGCGCCACAATCCATCGCCAATGGATACCTCTTAAGGACACCTCTTAAGCACACCTGTTGTCTCAAGACGAGCTGGGGAACCAGTCTCGAAAATTCACAATAAAATTTTGCTGTTTCCCAAAGAACTTCACCTTTCTAATTATATTTCTTGGATGCCTGTTTTTCAATTTACTTAGATCTCTGCAGTTTCCCACGAAATATGTTGAAAGGGTTGGGACCGTAACGACGTTGGGAAAACCGAACGAACGTTGCAGAGCCACCTACGTGAGCACGAATGGGGAACTCTGGGGCTAGACCTTATTTCGCAGCCTGCAATGCACAACGGAGAAACTGACCATACTTTAGATTTTCAAGGCGTGGTAATCTTAGGCTGATGCAGCTGAAGGGAGGAATTACCCACACTTGAGACGTGGTTTTCAGATTCCGCCCTCATCAACAAGCACATTGACTTTCAATCGGTATACAAAGTACTGCCTCATTACCTATCCAAATACGGCTGCACTGATCTTAGGAAAACCGACCAGATACTGCCCGATAATAAAGTCAGTCGACGAGGCACCAAAGTAACCACCAGAACGAACACCACCCTCAGAGGCTTCACAACCCTCCATCGAAATGATGACATGTACTATAAGCAGCTTTCAAATCCACCAGACATCCCCCAATAGCTGAGGCATCGAAGGAGAAAGAAAATCGATTAGCTTGCGGCTGACAAACCCAGCAAGTCATTTAAATTTCTGTTCGATATTGTGCAGTTAACACTTTGACAATAGTGAAGTGTGCGATCTCTTCGAGACGTCAGAAGTAGAATAAATTTGCTCCGGCATGTCATTTCTCCCTTTAAAACAGCCTGTATTCTACGGATAAATATTTCAGTTCATTTCCCATACATCTCAGTACAGAGAGTAGCCACATGCGTAGACATAATGGAAATAAAATCAGTGGCAATGAGGAGCCGGAGTACTTTTGTGGCAGGAAGCATATAGGAACTTTGGCTGTCGCACAAATGGGTTGTAGCCCTCACAGCTGAGTCAAGCAGAAACACCCAATTGGCGAGACTGGTGTGGGATTGCATAGAAACAGCATTGCGAGTGTGCTAAGTGTATTTAAGTGTTTATTTGTACATACTGCAGTGAAATGGTAAAATCTAGAAAAAATGTTTTGCCAATAAGTAAAACTACATTTGCATTGTGGACCCCTAACTTCTAGGGTCAGTAACTGACAGAATCTTTTTTTTAGCTGACCGTAGGACAAAACATGCTCCACACACAAGCGCATACGCGTGAAGACATGATTAATTTCTATTTAGTTATCTCACCTTATAATGTGTTCTTGTGTGAACCAGATGCGCAGTACATAGGCATTTTATCAGTCAAAATGAGACAGCCACTGATATCCTTTAAAGGTGTTCCACCGAGCTTTCAGTAGTTGGAAAAATTCATGAAGGACTGTATTCATGACATTCAGCTGTCATTTAAGATATCAACGCTGAAGTCTATGGCACCATTCTAAACGTAGATTTGCGGACGTGGGTTGATCCCCTAATGTATGAGGAAAAGCAGCGATCTGTTAGCAGACTTACAAAACTCCGAGCAAGCTGTCAAATAAAATTGAAGTCCTACCTCGGACCTATCAGTGTTGTGTTGATTATCAACTATCCTTAACTTTCTGTTATGTGACTTCGTGAAATCAGGGACCTTTGCACGTAAGTGTCAAGTACCTTGGTGAGCGGAAAAAAGTATTCTGTGTTGAAGTTAGTGACTTGCGAAAGAAGGTAAATCAGATTGGGTGGATGCGGTTTTTTGGTTTTCATTAGGTTTCTGTGGCGATTATGGCGGCGGCGGTGGCGGTGGTAGTGGTGGTTGTGGCACCACACCCCACACCCCAGCCGCTGTCCGAGCCGGTCAGCAGACTGGAGTGGGGAATGGGCGCGGTGGCTGTCATGGTCGACTGACCATGACTGCGCGCGCCACGGTACGACCTGGCCCCCCATACACACAACACCAGGATTTCACACAACGGGGGTTGAACGGCATGTCTCTCACTTGCGCGAGAGTGCCGTGGAAGGTGCTGTTTCAACCCGTCCTCAGCCCACCACTCCGCCATTCCACACAACACACACACACACACACACACACACACAACACGACGAACTGCGTTAGTAGCTGCAACATCAGTCGTTTCATGTGTTATAGAATTAGTAAAAATAATTTTGTAGTAATAGTAATGATGGTAGTAGTTGTAGTAGTAGTATTAGTAGTAGTAGTAGTAGTAGTAGTAGTAGTAGTAGTAGTAGTAGTAATAGTAGTAGTAGTAGTAGTAGTAGTAGTAGTAGTAGTAGTAGTAGTAGTAGTAGTAGTAGTAGTAGTAGTAGTAGTAGTAGTAGTATAGTAGTATTCGTGCTCGTATGAATATATAATTGGCATTTGCGCTATAATCGAGAGGTCCGCGCAGTGGAATTCGTTCCTGGTTGTTCATGTTCAGGTCAGGTCGACGGGCGAGGTCCTGGCAAACATAGTTTTCCTGTGTTTTCAACGTTTTTTAGTTATATCAATCGAGGTCAACGCGTGATTTTATATACGTATATCAAATTTTGGTAATCCGTCAATAACGACAGCATTCTGTGCACCATTTATATGCGAGTCAAAGCCTTCTTGGTGTAATTTTCGCCCAAACACCACAGCAGGATTTGTGCATTTCTTACGAACGTGAGAGTGTAACAAATTCTTCTTCAAAGCTTTTGCATATGTAATACAAAACCGAACAGATCGGTGGAACCATGTGTCCGCGACGATAGACAGTGCCACTTTCGTCACTGCTGCTGCCATCCCCTCCACCCTCGATCGCCGTTAAAACCGTTTCTGCCGTCAGCACATTTCCATGATCATTCCCTGAAATTTCCAACAGGACCGCTTTGACTGCATTTTATCCCTACGATAATAAGAGTGCAAAAGTAACATCCGGCGCTCTCAGTGAAGTGCAGCAATCTGCTGGACGTCGTAGTATGCGGTTCTTCTTAATTCTACTCACAGCGACGGTGTCTACAAACGCACTTCCATTTGGCGGTGTTATATTATCTACCTTCGACAAGTGGGATGCTTCGCTGAGCAAATATGACCAGCTGTCTGACTGTGATTCGGTCAATATATTTGCAACGACAGTCATTGGTTCACTTTATAACTCACAAGAAATTGAGGTAAATCGACTTACTCGTTTTCGTGCATGCCCAAACGCTTGATCTTGATAATTCTATTCACTCCATGTAAAGAACTCCCTAGTACCACCCTTGACGTAGTCTGGGGAAGGTCCACGAGGGGAGTAGGTATAAGCCATCCTAACATGCTAGGGATGACTGAGAGGTCCAGTGACTTCTTCAGTGACGTCAAAGATGTCCTAGTTTCAGCAATGCTTCCTCGCTACACTTGCTCAGATACCCGTCATGCTTTCATGAAGAGCATTTTTAGCGCAGTCGTCAGTAAATTAGCTCATCAAATTGTTCCTAGTGTTCTTTACTCTCCGGTTTTCTTCTAGAGAAGTTTAGTTCAACAGCAATCCCCTACAATAGTTTTTATTGAGAGCTTCCTTCCGTCTACCAGGACAATTAGCACGTATAACAGTTCCACAAAGGTCGAAAATTAATTGTAGTTATCGACCAGTCATTCGTATTCAACTTGAAGATAATTCCTTATACAGATTCTCCCGGCAAGATTCATCATCTACTCTGAAACTCCCATTTGTACCGTGAGACCCAATATATCCACTGTAAAGACAATGTGGTTGCCGGTGTCTTACCACTAATTTAGATGGACATGTCTGAATCTGAGCGGTTCGATGCAGAACTCCCACGGTTTCAACGCAGGAACCCATCCTTCCTTCTCCGAGATGTTGACTAGATCATCCTCACTGACACTACATTCTGTGATATTTTTACTGGTTACAAGTGTCCTTTTATCCCTGCTGCGACGCGGCGTCAGGTTTTCCAAGGCCTCAAAACCCTTGTACGGGCTGTAACATCAGCCCTTACCGTCGATTCAAGTCATTCCACCCAAAATAGACACATCGAATCTACGACCTACATGTACGTTGGCTCGGTCATTTTATTGTCTGCTCCACCATCACAGTCTCTTCACTCCGTTCGGTGTCTGAAGGGAGCTATCGGCATCGGTGTTCTGCCCTTGCCGAACATGTCAACGCAGACCAGGCGCGATCACCTGTTCCCGAAGATTACATGTGCAGCCGTTAAGTCACGCAGACAACCAATTACGTGACGTACTACGCGATGGTCCGACTCTTGATTGAAGACCGGATTGAATGAAGCCACCAATGGCAGGCACCAACACACGACGTAGACGATCAACGCGGACACATTCACTTTGACTCACCGGTCTAGTCACTCCCAGAAGACCTTGCCTGCAAATCAGAATTGCACCAAGTTCACTCAGGCCACTTTGGCCTCGTTGGGTCAACACCCATGGGTTCTCTACGGAGTAACCCCACCCTACTTGTGTCTACTTTCTACTTCTGCTTCTCCCTCTCCTCCCCCTTCATCATCATCATCATCATCATCATCATCATCATCATCATCATCATCATCATCATCATCATCATCATCATCATCATCATCATCATCATCATCATCATCATCATCATCATCATCATCATCATCATCATCATCATCATCATCATCATCAT